GTGTCGCTTGGTTCAGATATCTACAAGATCGGAGGACCCATCGACCATAAGCCTTCGTCTAGTGTCTCTGTTCTAGACTGTCGGACTCACACGTGGCGTGAGTCTCCAAGTTTGCTGGTGAAGAGGACTTTCCCTTCTGCTAGTGTTGTTGATGGGAAGATTTATGTAGGAGGAGGCTGCCGTGGAAATGGCGATTTAGATTCCTTGAACTCGATCGAGGTTTTTGATTCAAAGACTCAAACTTGGGACCACTTGCCTAGCCCTAACCCTGACCCAAACTGGGAGCTAAGTTGGGGTTGTTTACCGAGGAGCGCATGTATTGAAGGTAAGTTCCATTTGATTCTTGCGGAAAATAGTTTGGCTTATGATCCAAAGGACGGTAGATGGGACTCGGTTGATGGAAGGATGATAGCTCAGTATTGGATTTGGTCGTATTGCACGATAGACAATGTTTTGCTCTCTTTTTATAAGGGAGAGTTCCGATGGTATGACACTAAGTTGAGGTTTTGGAAAAGATTGAAGGGTTTGATAGGATTGCCCAAGTTTGGTAGTGATGTTCTTGTTAAATTGGCTGATTATGGTGGGAAAATGGCGGTTTTGTGGGACAAGAATTCTCCTTCTAGTGGCGGATGTAAGAAGAAGATGCTTTGGTGTGCGGAGGTTTCGCTTGAAAGATGCGATGTAGATGAGATTTGGGGGAATGTTGAGTGGCTTGATGGTGTGCTTCCAGTCCCTGACTTGTATGAGTTGGTAAAGGTTCTTGCTGTTACTCTTTGATTAGTGACATAGAAGTCTGAGACAAATTTAAATGTAATGAATTGTTATTGATTGTGGGTATTATTTTATCATTTTGTTGGGTGATTGTGTTTTGTGTTCTTAGCTAAATGCTAGAGGCATAATCATTTCACCTGTAAACATGGCTAGCTTATTTTGAACTGCTAAAGGCTTATGTTGTTTCTGTTGAATAGAGAGGTTCACTACCTTCATGGTGCCGGTATTTGTCTCACAAGCTCGAATGTGATAGAATCAATCAATGATGTGTACTATTTATCATTTTGTTGTAAATGTGTATGCTAATACCAGTACATGACTAGGATGAATGATTTTTGTGTGAGTTTAGCGGAATGCAATTGGCATTGTTCAACTTGTAAACATTTGAGCTGCTCTTGTGACTACTACTGACAAAATGTCTTAGAAGTTTGAACCACTTTTTGTTGTTGTATAGAAAGATTTTCATTACATTGATAAGAAGAAAAACAAATAGTTCTAGTGCTTAAGGCTTTCTAAATGAAACTTTGAGGCTTTGTTGTTTAGGCAGATAAAAAACCATTGTTCATTGTTCTCAAACTCGAACCGGATGAGTAGATGGATGCATTAAAGAAAGGCATGTTCAATTCTTGACATGGTTTTATGGTGTGCATATTTTAGGTTGTTTAACCATTGAACTGCTTTGTTTTCAATAAAACAAATTAAGAGAATCTAAGTTGCGAGACTGACCAATATTGAACCAAGCACCATTCTCTTATCATTTTGCATAGCCTTCTTCCATGTGATATTTCTTGCATTGCTTAAAGCCTTAACTTGTTACAATGTCGTACTGTTATGGAGCTAGCACGAAAATTGTTTTTATTATATAACTTTATTTCTCACACTTTTTGATTGGTAACATTTCTGAACATATTAATTTCTTCAACAAATTAGACATCAGGATTCGAAATCAAAAGAGAGTACACTAAGTAGACAGAGGGCGAGGGAGACGGTAGAACCAACGAGGGAGAACATACTGCGAAAAGAAGAGATGGTTAGGAAGAGCTTGGTGCATTTGGATATAGATCTCCTCCATATACACCCTGCAACTGTTAAAACTCAAGATGCAACCATCCACACACTCATTATCATACGCGGTTTCCTTGTGAAGACTAAACACATGTGTACGCAAGTTAAACAATACCAGTCCTTTCTTGGTCCTGCTCCACAAGTAGATGATCTCAGACTTCAAAGGGTGCATCACAACAGGAAAATAATCAGTACCTAACTTCATCACAGACTCCAAGTTGATTTCCCAAGAGAGTTGCCACGCCGCCTCAGGACCATTTATGTAATTAACCAGCTTCCAAACCCGAAACGTGTGGTTTCCGTTGTCATGAAACTCGTTGAAATACACAATCGACCCTTCCGAGGTCGTGAACGTTCTCCTGAAACGCCGTAGCTCATCATCTTTAGCGGGGAAACGAATGACACAACACTCATCACCATCACGACCTCCATAGAAATCATAAGCTACAACAGAACTGGCGTCGGAAGCGGTACTAGCCTGAGAAAGCCAATGAAGAATCCCATTCAAAGCAATAGACTTGTCATGTCTAGACCATGTAGTGGGACAAAGACAAGTACAAGGAACATTCTCTGTTTTCCAAATCCCTGTCTCAGATGAATAAATCATAAAATCAAGCATAGATGATGAAACATCAGGTCTCAACATCCAAACAATCTTGTAACTCACAAGAATCCCATTCTTCATCTTCGTAACCAAACCAGTGTCCGTGAATCTCTCACTCTTCCTTAACTTTTCGAGTTCTTGCAACGAAAGAAAAGAAGGGAGAGGGATACGAACCCATTCTTGAAACAAAGGGTTTCCAATGTAATACAAAGGAGACCCATCTCTAGCTTCTTCTGCATAAATCAGAACCAATCCATCAGTACAAGCTAAGACCAAAAGCTTTGAGATTGTTGTCTCGACGAAGAAACTCAAGTAAGATCCAGGAGAACGAGTGAGTCCCCATGTATTGCATCCATGGTGGCCAACGATTTCTAGTGACAGCTTGTGGGGTTTGGTCTGGATGATTGACCATGAGACAGAGGAAGATGAGTTGAAGGAGATGTAGTAATTTCGGAAGAAATTTGAATCGATGAGAGATTTCAATTCTTTGCTTATCAATCTGAATCTTGCGATGCTCTTCAGAGGAAATCGAGCCAATACGTTTACCAATACAACTTCTGGAAGATCCATTTTCGTTTTTAGGGTTTTTGATTTCTCCTTCTTCGAGTAGTAGATGATTCTGATAAGAATCGATTTATATGGTGTGTGGATAAAACACAACTAATGAAGAGGTCAACACACATTTCAAAACAAAGATTTTATTCTTAAATCAAAATTTAGTAAATCAAAACAAATATTTTATTCTTAAATGGAAGTAAATTAAAAATAATTTAGTAATGAATCGTTTTCTTTGGAAAATCGAAACAACAACAGAAGAAAATATTATTATAAGATTACAACAAATTAAATGTTTTTGACTTAACACATTAAAAAAGCTATGATTCATGTATATAACCAAAAAAAAAGGTTGAACAAACAAGTAACATATCTTTATATAAGGAGAGTTTTTGGAATTGACACAAATCAGTCAGTCAATTTCAAAACTGAATTGTACAACAAATTAAATGTTTTTGACTTAACATATTAAAAAAAATATGATTCATGTAAATAACCAAAAGAAAAGGTTAAATAAACAATTAAACTATTTATTACATAAAAGTTAAATTTCATCTTACAAGTGATTCACAATTAAGCACTCTTTATTTTGACATATTATCTTTACAAAAGTTTGTTTAATTTGTAGTATTTAATGTTTTGACCATTTTAGAGAATTAAACACGAAAAATGTAGAACTACTAATACATGTTTGATGACTCTTGGGAAACGAACAAAATATTTATGTATAAGTAGTTCCTCACGAC